AGTGTGTTTCCTTAGCCTTGGGTCAATGTCCTTGCAGRAAGTTTCTACACTTTCCAGCTGAGCAGCAAAGGAAGCAGAGGAAAGGGTTACAGCAGTGTGGCTCTGCAGGGCTGTGGGTGTCAGTGGGAGCACAACCCTCTCTTGCCAGGGAACAACCTCTGCTCCCCTGCCCAGGGCTCCCCTAGCTCACACCAAGGGCCACCAACATCCCACCTGCTGTGACATGGCCACAGCATCACCAGGGCTAATGCCATGAGTTTGTGACTGCCTGTCCTGACATAACCATGACATCGACAGCGCCGGTTCATCCCTGTGACATGGCAATGCCACCTTTCCCACAAGAAGAAAGAGAGCAAACAAAACCCCAACAACTGATAATGTTGAAGAGGGAAATTAATGCGTATGCTGCAGCAATTCAAGATAAACAAAGAATCAAAGCAGTGGATCCTGCTCAATTTTAAAGATCTGTGAGGTACTTGCTGCCCATAGTTGTATGTTTGAAGGTTGAATTCTGGAAGAAAAGTGCTTGTCAGTCTGACTCAATGTTGTATTTCAGACCTGTGGAATTAAAGGCACGTCCAGTACTAAACCCTGCACCCAGGAGCGGCTGACGGCACCGAGCAGTAACAGAACACATCAAGACTCATGTCTTCCTTTACCTAAAAGAGTCAAAGTTGTAAAGTGGATCTGATTTTCTTACTTTGAAAGAGGCAACTGGAAGGCCATCCTGCCTGAGGGAAGACAACCAGATGTTTTATCAGGTGAAAAGAACTCAAAACTTTGAATCTCCAGGAGAGGCAGGGTGTTAATCCTCCTGATTTCATCAGGTTCTCCACTAGTTCCTCCTTGTTTGGACTTACGTCTACCACCTCCAAATCCTTCCCAAACACTGCCAATGCCTCTGAGTGGTATGACCACATTTTTCTGCTATGAAAATCCCAGAGCCTGGCTCCCAAGGGATCTTGCTATTGAAAATGCAGTGTTGGTCTTCTTGGGTTTGGGTTTCTTGTTGTTTGCCTCTGTGAGCTGTTTATTAAGTAATCAAATAATAGCATAGYAAATAAATAACGTCTTGCCTCACAAGGGCTGAAATATGCAAGAAGTAAGTAAGCCTTCTTAGATTTTACAAATATTCAGTAAGTTCAAAAATCATACAAAATACATGGYGACTAATCACTTGGGTGAAAATACTTCGGGATAAAGCACACTGGAAGTTGGAATGGTTTGCTTCCTGTTATGTACAAAATGGCTGCAAAGGAGCTATTAAAGTCTCTCAAATAAACACAGTTCTTTGTGTGTTTGTTTGTTTCCAGTTAGAGGTATCCAGTCACTCAAAAGACCATGTGCTGTGTAGCCTCCGCGGGGTTTGCTTTGTAGTACAGATAGTGCCTAACCACTACTTTCCTCTCTCTTGATCACTAACGAAAACAGACCATATAGAGATGAAAGTGTTCTAAATCAGTGTTCTGTGTCATTTCCCACTTACTTTGCACTTTTCTGACAGCTGAAAGGCTGCAATAAATTGAGTGCATGCACACCCACAGAGAATGACAGTACAACCATAACCTAGCCTCTCAGGACATRTATTTTCTTCCCCAAGGGACTATATTGAAAAATTATCAAAGCAGGGGGTGTCTTGGTCTTTTCTACTGTGATTTTAAAATTTTTGATCGATATAATTTCTTTGAGGGTTGAGTTTTCCTACTACTTAAAAAAAAAAAACCAACATTTTTAACTAAAGTAATTAAAAACAAATATGATACTATAGCTGAATACCAGTTTTATACTAGCACACTTAAAAATAAAACTCAGACAAGTAATGAGAGAAGATTTTTTCCTCTTTTTCTCCTTTCCTTCCTTCTCTTTTTTCCTTCCTTTCACCTTTCTTTCTTTCTTTCTTTCTTTCTTTCTTTCTTTCTTTCTTTCTTTCTTTCTTTCTTTCTTTCTTTCTTTCTTTCTTCCTTTCTTTCTTTCTTCCTTTCTTCCTTTCTTCCTTTCTTTTCTTTCTTCCTTTCTTTTCTTTCTTCCTTTCTTTCTTTTCTTTCCTTTCTCTCCTTCCTTCTGTTCTGTCCTTTCTTCCACTCTCCTGCCCTCCCTTCTTCTCTTCCTGTTCTTCTTTCTCTCATTCCGCTGTTCTTTCTGCCTTTTTTTTTCCCCCTCCTCTACTTCTAATTTTGTTTTGTAGGTAGTTGGAGATCTGTTTTATTTTAAAACAATGAAGAAGGCAGAATCCCCTGAGGTAAATTCATTGAGTACTGGGAGGTCTTGGTAACACAATTGAACTGGCACCAAATCAATAAAAACAGAACAGAAGAAAAAACAATAATTAAAACATTCTGTCAAAAAAATGGAGCAGTAATTAAAAGATGCAAACTATTGTTTTGCTACACTAATTACATTTTAATTTTCAATAGCTTGCTGAATAGTATAAAAGCCCATGCCTATAAAATGTCCCAGTGACAGTGCTCTTTCTGCAACTAGCGTGATAACAGTGTTTATGTGCTGTAACCGAGTGGTATGTGCTTTCAACTCTGTGTGGGTGAAGCTAGCTTCCTTGTAAGATAGCATGACAACAAAGTTTCAATTTTTATTTTTCTTTCTGCTGTGGAAAATTATTACCCAACACACGCACAGAGACACACACACACACACACACTCAGACACGCAGACGTGCGCGCACATCTCCACGCACACAAATCAGTCCAAGGGCGACGCTGCTCTGGGCACCGCCACTGACCTCAGTGGGAATTCTGTGTGTGGCGCAACAGCGGCTTCTTGGCCTGCGTGAATACTGTACTTAGGTTCAGACCGCGCTGTTTCCTTCACATGTTGTTCAGGGATGAAGAGAAAAACAAATTGAATTTTCCTATTAATACACACCATTCGCGAACTTAACACATGCAACTTTTTAGGCRGCGTCCTGAGGACTTTTCGCACAGAACGGTCCTTATAGATTTCACTGGTCGATACCCATACATAAAAGCAACRTAATAAAGCCCATATTTTGTACAGTTATTAATCATAGCTGTCCTGAAAAAATTACGTAATTCATTTAGCTGCTTTTGAGAAGAGTTTGCTTTTGAGAAATTTCCATAGGCAGATTTACGAAACTCTCCAAATCAAGCATACRTGTAAGGAGTTTGTTGTTACTGGTTTTTTTGCAGCTCAACACGAAGTCCAGTTATCCAGATGACTCCTGGCAAAATCTGGATCCATTAGCTGCAATCTGTTTCTCCACAGCTGTAGTTTACACACTCTGCCTTTCATATCATCTCGTTTGAATGGTAGAGTTCTTCCAGAAACAACATCTCRTGTGTTCAGGCATGCCCCAAAAACAATAGATCCCTTCCATCAAAGTGGGAGTGGTGGGGAAATAATTTCTCAGTAACTAATCCCTGGATTTCAGATGTATGAAATCAATGAAATGCCTTGGTCTATGAAAATGGTCCACACTGCCAAACAGCATTTCACAGCTGCATAGCTTTTCTACATTACCAATTTAATTTGAAATTATTTCAAAACAGTGTAAATATATTCTTTTATAATACGAAAAATGAAGAAAAGGCCACACCACATAAAACCAAAAATCAAATCCAAAAATAAAAATCCTTCTTACCACGACGGCCAGAAGCACAAATATGGAGGGCAATGTATTTTAAAGGGAAAGCACTGAGCAAACATTACCTATGTTTTCACCAGTTTGCAGTCCCTTTTATGTTCTCCTAAATTAACATCTCAGTTATGTGCATTCATTTCCATTCAGCTGATAAGGGTTAAAAAGGTATAAATCTGGACAGCATCAGCCTACTGTCTGGAAATATGTAAAAATTAAATTCAAATGGGAAGCCAGGATAACAACATCACCAAAGCCAGAGTCACTTACATGGTACACAAAATCTGTATGTTTTTCTAGGGATTGATGAGGTGACATTGATCACACTGACAGCATTGGTACCTTTTGAAGRTGGAAGCTAACCAGGACATTAGGACAGCTCACTACTATCAATRGTGCATTTACATTGAGTGGAAAACTGCAATTACATATTTTCACACGCCAAAGTTGCAAAACCAAAACAGATACAAAGCCCAGAGCAAAATATGGGGGGAAAAATTAAAACTAAAATTACAATCCTCTAGTCTAAAAAAAACTGGTCCCTTATCTTCTGTGAACAGCCCAAATTGAAGGGGTTTTTACAATGAGGCAATAATAAATTGCTTCAATAATTATTTTGTGGGCACAGAATATTCCCAAAATTCCTATTATTACAGTGCTAGTGAAATGTCCCGATTTACTGAAATTAAACAAAGACAGATATTTATTTAGAATTCCTGTAACTGCTACAACCAGTAAGTGTATTTCATCACTGTGATTGCAAAAACAAATACCTACCAGAGCAATGCAGTTCCCAACAACACAGAACTGAATGGAAATAGAAGTGTTGTAAATGTTACGCTAATGCTCATGGCAGAAGTATTTGTCTGAAGGAAAAATAAACCAAAATAACTGACTGARGCTGAGCCATAGAGGATTCTCAGGGAGCAGTGAGCTGGGCAGCCCCTGGGCAGTAGCATTACCACCAGAACAGCTGCCAGAGCACGAGGAGGTGCTGAACAGCTCAGGAGGGGAAGGTGGGATTGGTGTGGGACATTAACAGTGGGACTGTGGGCCGGGGGCACACGGGCAAGGATGTTCTTGTGGCCCTTGYTAGGATGCAAACGACTCAGGATGCCAGAGTCATCCCACCTCCCCTGCACCATCTGGACAGAGCCACCAGTGCATCCTGTGTTTTGCTTCTCTGACTTCACCAATCTCTGGAAATGTCTGTTTATTGTAGACACAGTTTTCTTTCTTACTGTACAATATACACCTGTTCTAGGGGAGAATGCTGCAGCAGCACCACCAAAGTTGTAATTCTCTTACCACTCCTGTGTGCTGGGGTGGCTGCAGGACAGCAGGGAAAACAAATTATTTTCTCACAGCAGACAAAGAATATGTGGTCAACTTTATATGGACAAGAGTGGAAATCATGCTATGATTGGTACTCGTGGTAAAATGCTCACACTTCCAATGCTCGCACTGTCTGTTCTKGTAACTGGATCCACCCTTTCATGAATCCTTGGATAATCATTTCACTTCCTGACAAGACAGGAACAAAARCAACATCAAGGCACAAAGCTGTATTTACATATTCCTCCTGCACCTGATTTTTTGAGTCTACAAAGACTGTGGTTACACAGCTTGGCAGAATAGGGGTATAACCATCATAACTTGGCAATCACCCTAGAGGCAGAGACAGGCTGCTCTGCAGCTGAAACCTGTTCCCAACCAGAACTTCTCTACATTCCCAATGGATCTCTGTGTCAGGTATTGTTCTCTCAGCTGGGATGGGAATGCCACTGGTAGCAGGAGAGGACAGACAGCAGGAGAGGACAGACACACGCTGATGAGCCTGGGTAGGGTTGCTCTCATGCTATGTGTGATGAGAGGCTTCAGTTGTGTGGTGAAGTGTCCACGTGTTTTAAAATTAAATTTCTTCTAGATCCTCGGAGCGACTTTTTGAGTTGGAGATGATGATGTGACATAACCACAAACAGCTACTCACAGTTTTTTTGGACTGTATTTCCTCCTGCTGCAGATCGTTCTGTTAAAGGAGATGATCAAGGCAATTGTAAATACATGAATGAAACTCAGGCATTATGACACCTGGGAAGCATAAGAATGCTACCCCTCTGCCCTCATTTGGTTAGTTGCCTGATGCTAAAACCCTGAGTTGGGTTTTACACAGTAAGTGCACAATTGTGTCAGTTCTGGGCTTGTTGTTACAAATATTGCCTGATAGAATCAATCTCTCCCTATCGGAAATGTAACTTTTTGAATTTACAGCATAAAACTAATTAAATTAGGTCCAAGCTCTTTTTGTCCATGAAAAGATGCTAAAAAAAAGGCTAGAGTTTGCACACATTTTTAGTGCCCTCCCTAAATACACCTACCTTTTAGTAATTTCTTTTACCACATAGTTCTGTGGCAACTCAGGAGGCCTGCTTTAAAGTCTAAGGCAGAGCAGCATGTGTARGGATACATTACACCATATATTTATTTTCACATAGACCCCCGAGGATTAATGAAATACTCTCTTCAGTCTCTCTATCAGAATTATTATATATCTCTACAACACATGTAAGTCTGTACTCAGCAAAGTTTCTTGAAACACTTTTCTTCTCTGAAATGCTGCATGCCTCAAGCAGAGGACTGCAGAGAAAGAGCAATGTCCAAAGATCCTCGTGATCCTAGCAAACAGCCTATTCCTAGGAAAATAAAAAACCTTGCACCACTTGCCTTGCTGATAAGGAAAAAATCCCCATCTCCAAATAACCAACCTGCTGTYCCGGTTACTACCAGCAGCAAGCCAYTGATGCTGCARTWAAGAAMAGSCTTCTCTTTCCTTTTCTCTRAGCTCCAAAATACAYCCAGACAATCTTTGCACTGACAAAAATGTTTTTATCCTGACCCTGTTGCCTGTAAACTCAGAACTGAGTGATTTGAGCTTCACTATCAATGTAGGCTCAGAYGCTGAGGCTATCCCAGATAATTTTCACCCCCCTCTGGCTCATGATGGCAGTGGTGAACTCAGGAACCGATTAATTTAGGATTTCATGGACCCCGATTCTGTGCAGGACAGCAACACTTACAGCCTTGACTTGGCATGGAAATTAAATTAAAATGAGACATTTTGATTTTTCTTCCTTAGACAATTACAAAGCACGTGGGAAGTGGAGAGTGTTCTAATTCTACCTGTATTTTTATCTTACCACAATTTTAAGTTTCTCCTGTAATTTGTTGCAAGAGCAAAACTAACCACAAAGTCCAACATTTGGCAGTGACTAGATCATACAGTGGACAGCTTCACAGGCAGTAAGTGCAGGCTAATTGGAAAGGATTCAAAAATTAAAAAGTAGCAGAAGTAAACCTACAGTACAAGGGCTAYGTTCAGCACAGAAAAAAAGGAGGCAGAAGAGCTGCCTGCTGACACAAAAAGTTGTGYTCAAGTGTAGAGCTCCAATAACAGGTTTCAATGTTTGCAATGAAACTATTAGGTTAAATAAATATAAGGAGTATTACAGAGGATAAATTCCACAGCACAGTGGACAAATTCCTATTTGGTCAATCCTTAACTGCTTTCAAAATGAGCATTTCAGAGCCTGCTGCACACCCCCCTTTCTCTGAGTGCACTGACAGTGAAGTGAGTAGAAAATACTGACACTTAGAAAGAGGAATTGTGGCTTTGCTGAAGGGTATCTCTTTTCTCCACTGTACAGTTAAGGGCATTAGAAAATGCCCCTTGAAATGACTGGCCTTTTGGCTTTATGAAATGAGTATAGCGCTCTCAGCTGAATAATTTCCAGCCTGACTCGGAATAATAGAAATACTTAGAAAAGATGACATTTTCTTTGAAAGAGTAAGGCACATTTCTTCTGAAGAAGAATTAAAATATTAAGTTGGACCGTGGTTAACTTTTATCACCTCTGTGACAAAAAATAGCAACATCCTTGTTTTCACTTCTACAATCAGAAGCTCTTTAAATAGTGAGCTAACACCTTCTGAGGTTTTCAAATGGCAGAACACAGTAAAAATAGGTGAGGTCACGGGCTTATAAAAAGGGGCAACACTGCTATGCAGAAAGCGCAGGCTGTCTGTTTTGCCAGCAGCCTGTGTCAGTTCCCACAGTTCAACAATAACTAGCACTGAGACTCGTTTAACAACAAAAGAAAATGAACTCTGCACGGGGGATCCTCCTGTGGCATTCGCTGCAATTAATAACATTAGAGACACTCTATTATTTTATCTTCATCTTCTGTGAAGTTGTAATTGTTACACGCTCAGCAGCACCACTTGGCACCCACTGCCAAGGCATGACTACCCCGGGCTCTGCCGTAGTACGTGCAAGAATTACGAGACAAAGTAAGGAATTTCTGCATTCCATATACAACTGTACAACTCTACATTAGAAATATACCTAGCAGGTCACATTTAAATATWTTTAAATCCCATTTCTGGTGCATGTATGAGTATTCAAAGATTCTATGTACTGTTTTATGTATCACGAAGGCACAGCAGCGGGAAAGGCTGTCCTTTTCCCTGGCTGGGATGTTTTATATCTGTCCAAGAGAAAAAACCCTCACAATTTTTCACTCCCATTTTCCAGCATTTCTCTAGACATAAATTATTATTAAGATTAGTTTAATACTGATTTTTCCAATAATTTTTTCCCATTAGAAAATGAAATGAGAACAGAAGGCAGCCTACAAGTAACAATGACCTTTAGTGGCTACAAAGTAAATCATACACAGAGAAGAAATAATGTACTTTGTTTTTTTGTTTCTGTTACCAGAAACCTGCCTTGCCTTCTCTTTTTTTTTTCTTTTTTCTTTCTTTTTTTTTTCTTTTATTTTTTCTTGGACAACAATCCAATTTTCCTATCTAGCATCACTGATTAACACTGACACAAATCTGGGCAACATATATTAGGTTTTGCAGATTGTTAGGAAACACAAGATAAGATGCAATTATTATGAATATATTGCTATTATCCGAAGGGAGAGTTGCAGTTTGATGTTTTTCATTCTCATTAAAAAAAGCCTCGCAACAAGCTATGGCTGCTTTAGGATTAAGATTCTGAGAAGCGTCTTTTAAAAWATRTAAAATATATAAATATGTCAATAAAGCAGAATACAAACCTCTGTAAGAGTGGCTCACACACAAAAAGCAGATACTACTTTTCTCAATGCAAACATGACTTATTCAAACATGTACCCTGTTGAAATTTGAGGGCAGAACAAATTAAACAGTAGACCTATGCACCTGTAACCATGTCCAATATTCTTATTCCAYCATTAAAAGGTACTCATTCCACCATCATTAAAAAGTTAATTTTATTTTGGTGTTGATCCAGTATGAAGTGTCTCTCTCAGTTATGAGGTACTTCTCTTTTCCTTTGAGAAAACATATTTCCTCCTGAAATGTGCGTATGTGCTTTCTAACTTCATGTAATCTGCCTGATTACATCAGCAGCCTGCCTGTGCCATCACTCTTGAACATTTCAACACATCCTTTGCAGTAAGGAAGCTGTAGGCAGTGATTTATTTGACCCGTTCATTCCCAAACATTTTAATTCAGGAATAAATGCTGTCATTACAGTTTACTGTCTTGAAGTTTATTTTCTTTAGCTTGTTCATAAAGTCCTTGAAAGTTTTGCAGCATTTTGTTGGTTGTCTTGTTCTTCTGGCTTCCATTTTCTAGAACCTGATTAAAACAGCAGCTCAGAGGTGAAGGCACTGAGCCCTTTTCTGACTTTTCTGACTGCACTGGTTACAGAGATAAGGKGTAACTGGTAGCCTAGCCCTGGCTGCTAACCACCATCATCCCTCCCTCACCCCTTTTCCTGACAACCTCTCCAAAAGCTCTTACATTCACTCCTTTAAGTGTTTCAGTGAAAACAGTCTGGACCAGCAAAAAAAAAATGCAGTTTTAAGATAACACAGCTCACTATTATTGATATTTGTCGGGAGGTCTTCACATCTGCAGGTGGCTTTGGTAAGGCAGCAATGTTTGCTGGCAGAGGGAAAGGTGCTGCAGAGATTCTAATTGTGGGTTCACAGAAACAGAAAATCACAGCATTGCTGAGGTTGGAAGACATATCTAGAGTTTATTCAGTCCCTTGATCAAGCAGGGTCACTTAGAACAAGGTTGCCCAGGACCAAACCTCCAGATGGTTTTTGAAAATTGCCAAAGAGGAAGACCCTCCACAGACCCTCTGGACCACTTGGGACAGTTCTCATTTATCCCAACAAGAAAAAAAGTGTACCCTGATGTTCAAACAGCACCTTCTGTTTCAGTTTGTGCCTGCTGGTGRTGTTCTGTCAGTGAGTGAGCCTGGCTCTGTCCTCTTYGCCCYCTCKCTTCAGGTATTCACATATATTGAGAAGATCCACCTGAGTCTCCTCTCCTCCAGCCTGAAGTCACAGCTCTCTCAGCCTTTCCTTGCAGGAGGGTTGCTCTAATCCCCACTTTTGCTTAGAGAAGTCTTCAGCAGCGGCAAAATTGTGCTGTTCGTGCCTCTGCCTTTTCTTGTTCCCTTAATCATCGTAGCAGCTCTTTGCTGGCCTCTCTCTAGCACACCCATCTCTCTCTTGAGCTGAAGGTGCCAGAACTGGAGACAGAACTCTGGCTACAGCCTCAGCAGTGTTGAATGAGGGGGAGGATCACCTCTCTTGATCTGTTAGAAACACTTSTCCTAATGCAGCCCAGGACAGAGTTCACTGTCTTTTCTGTAATGTGAGATTGCTGGCTCATGTCATCTTGGTGTCCACCAGGACCTCCAGCTCCTGCTCTGCAAAGCTGCTTTCCAGCTGGCCAGCTCCCACCATGTAGTGAGGCATTAGAATAATGTGGATTATTCCTTCAATAGGTGCAGGACTTTACATTTCCTCTTGCTGAACTTCCCAAGATTCCTGTCAGTCCATTTCTCCGGGCTGTTGGAGTCCCTCTGGATGGCAGCAYGGCCCAGTGGCACATCAGAGGTTCAGGGCAGTCATTTCTTTAGCTGGCATTGCTGGAGCCAGAAGACATGCATCTGCAATGTGCAATGTGTAATCCCTGTGCCATTCCTAGTGCTATCATTTATTCTCTGGTGAGCCAGTTGATCCTGCAGCCTTTGCCTGCTCTGTATTTGTGCTGCACACTCTGTAATAGAGCACTACAGGTATTGAAATGGATGCTTGTGCGAGACATTCTTGCAGTTAGGGTATTTTTATATCACATAATATACTTGGCCCATTATTAAAGCAGCCAGAATTGAAAATTAAAGACTTTTTTCCTCATTAATTCACGTTTTGCCAGTTGGAGTTGATGAGACAGGAGCTGGGAGAAAGTCCCAGGGGGTTGAAAGGCAGCAAACAAGTATTGACCCTGGTGACGTGATCCATGCCTGCCACCCTCCAGTCACACCAAATATCATCAGTGGCACAAACCACAGCTTCTCCTGCACAGATTAATGGGTAGTAGGACCTGGCACTTGCAGTCAGAGAGGTGCAGAGAGTTTCACTACTCTCTGTGCCCACTSCTTTGAGCAGAACTCAGGCAGAACAGAGAGTTTTGTATCCCAGGATATAAAACAAAGCCATGTCACTCCTTGTGGCACTGCCCTAAACCAATCTTTCATGCAGTGACTTTTACATTTTCCTTCCAGGCCACCAGCTGTCAGATGGTAACRATTTCCATCCACTTGCTGACGTGAGCTGGTTTTGAACTTTAATCCASTCCATGTCTTAACTGCGGTGGCAAACACTTTTTAACTAAAAAGAGCCTTCAAAACAATTAAAAAAAATAAATAAAACCAACAGCCCCAAAACAGCCCTTGCTAGCAGCACAGCTTTTGTAAAAGGCTTGACAGATGTAAACAGACCAAGCAATCACATGAAGGAAGCAGCCTTTGCGTGACTGCAGGAGCTGGTGGTCACTGTGGCTGGGGCACCTGGATTTTACTCCACACCACSATCCCAAAGGACAGTGCTCACCCCAAAGAGCTCCCAGTCTGCACTCACTGTGGGCACAAGATGGATGCTGACTGATGAGGGAGCTCAAGGAAACAATGAAACAGYGATGGTCAGCATGGGAAGCAGTGGGCTCATCATTAAATCATCTCCATTTACTTTCCTAATATGCTTACATTTTCTGCCACACACAGCTCTCTTCCTCCCAGGCAGTATTGAGTGCCTTCAACTCCCAGGGAAGTCCATGGGTATGGAGAGACGTCAGCATTGTGCATGAGGTGCTTGGCATTGTGCGTGGCAAAGCCTGGAGAGTCAAATCTTTGCTATTTTACTTACTCTGGCCTGGAGCAACAGTCACCTCTGTAATGGAAAATTATGATGAGACAATAATACAGCTGGGAAGAATTGGCCATGTTTCTTGGGCACAAACAATAGTAGCTTCTTWGTCAAATATATGTGGGTAATAGTTAAAACGTTGCTCTTGCTACACTTCTTTCTTAAAAGTTACACCTTCACAGTAGAAAAAATAATACTGCCATTTTCTATATTAATCTTTTCTGCTTKGGAGGTGGACAAGGCATTGCAGTCTCTGGGTATTTGAGTTTGCTCTTTGCATGTCTCCCATGCAACTAGTTCCTTAAGTTTTCTTTTCCTGAGTGGCACTTGCTGTGGGGATTCAGCTGGTCAGTCACTTTTCTGTGCTCTCCCTGCTGCCTGGTGACACCCTCACACTGCAGATAAGCTGTCTTCACCCTCTACTCACCATCTGGATAGTCTCATTTCCTTGCTGGATAAATTTGGAGTGTTGAACTGCCTGACAAGTCTCAGAATTTGTACTAAATTGATTCCACTTAATACCTTGTCTTTTTCTGTAGTTGTTGCCATTGTGTGTRCTTTTGGTGGATTTATTAATAATAGGGCTTAATCAACCATATTAACTCTAGATTCAAAACTAAATGGTTGCAAATTAATTTGAATTACAAAGATTAGCCTTAGGAAGGAAAAATGTGGCAAACACCACAGTCTTCTGAGCTAACCGCACCTTTTGGAAATTCCCAAGGAGCTGATTCACTGGAATGACAATTACCCCCCTGCTTCTCCCTCCCCACCTCTCCCCCCCCCAAGCGCATTGTTTTACAGGAAACTTAATAAAACTCCGTTTGTTAACAACAGTCATTAAAACTTTACTGAGATTGCTCATGCTGATGATAATCTTTGAAAAGTAATTTTTTTTTTTCATTCCAACAGGATTTCTCTGCTTATTCACAYCTACTGATTGGTATGGGAACCTACCCTGAGTAAGAGCTAGGAACCTTTTTGTACGTCACTGATGTCACTGGGAATTTTCCTGTTGGGCTCAGTAGGAGCAAAGTTTATAATATCCTGAAAAGTAATAGTAACAGATTAGACACCCATTCTCTTGTTCCTTGCACATTCAATTTCTAGCAACAATAGTTTTAATTTCGAGTTGCTAGGATTATTTTTTTTTTAATTTACATACTATGAGTCAAAGGATGTTGGCTCCAACACTCTGAGGAAACAATGGGGATAGATCCCTCACCCTGGCTAAGTGCCTTTTGTGTCCTTCTGTGTGGCTACTTTAATTTGTACCAGAGGCCAGCCATACACACATGCATGCTCATGTACACACATGAGACCCAGCAAGACAGAAAATCAAGGGAAAAAAGAAAAATGTTTTACTTACTCTTTTATCTTTCCCCACCTAGCTTGAGTTTTAACATACACACACAGCATGGAAGAGGGGAAATTGTAATAGCTAAAGAGAAAAGGAAAATAATTATTAATTATTAGAGTAGTAGGTAGCTCGGGGATGCTACAAAGAAAGTAGAAGGGAAAAGAGTATTTATGGTGGCAACAGAGAATGATCAGCACTGCAGTGCTTTGTCTACCCAACTCAGCTAATCACAATTCACACACACATTTTTGACTGCAACGGCTCTCTCCTTTTCATTAATTTCCACTCTTGAGCTACTTTCTTTCCTGTGTTTATATTCTGGCTCTGTTAAACTGATTAGTTTTCCTGGCTGTAAAGCTACAATACAATACCTTGTAACCTAATACCGTACCCTGTATATTTGCCACAAGTATGTTAAATGTGGTAGGAAAGCCATATTTTCTACAGGGAATAAAAGTAGCAGTTTTAGTTCTAACAAAATCATATTTACATACAGTCACAGTTTATCCATAATATTAATCAAATGCCCTTCCTATGTTTCAATTAGGAAAGCAAAGACAATTGTTCCTCTTAGGGAGAAGGACAATTTTAAAGCTGGAAAAGGCTGGCAAAAAACATAGATCAGTTCAAACCACTTTTGGGAAATTCCCAGAATGCTGAATCACTGGGGTGGACAATTACCACCCTCTTCAGCTGAACAATCAGAGATTCTAAAAAGAAGAAATGCACGCACCCTTAAAGAAAGGAAATGCAGCCTTACTGTGACTGTTTCCTTTGAGAGTAATTCCTGAGAAACCGTTTTCTGTTCATAATGGGTTTCTTTCTTCCTAACCTCACACTCACCAGGAACAGAACTGACCACAGAGATTTCTGAAAGTTYATCAGTGACCCGATACACCAAAAGACTTTCTGTAAGGCTTTTCAGCCCTGGGACCCAGCTGCTGGGCAGGGTTCTTTTATGTGATCTAACTCCCCTATCATGCAATCCCTTAAAGCATATGCATTATTGCATTACCTGAGGAGGCCTAATAAATCCAGACATCCCAATGAAGCCAACTACTTGAAAGCCAGCAATTTTGGGGSCCCATCTTCTGGAATTATTTAAAATTATATCATGCTGAAAATCTAATATATTTTTCATATGCATCTAGCACACTCCTTAAATAGGTAAAAATGGCAGTGATTCTTTTTATAGGATGCTTCCCCATGACAGTGTGCCTTTAGTGAGGTTCTCAACAGTGGGAGCAACTTACACCTTTATTTTGAGTCAACAGCCCTGTCCTGTGAGACAGCAAGTGCGCATCACTAACACAGGAGGAAAGGGCTGGGGTTTGACATTTTTCTCACACCTTAATAGTCCTAAGACTACTCCTCTTTCGTTAGTCTGTCAGATGGTTCAATATTTAACCTTCCTGCGGTCCTYCAAACCAAGTGATCAGGCCAAACCAGCAAGAAGGATCTGCCCAGAGGACATGGACAGTCTTTTGATCCTTTCCTAGAGAGGCAGCCTTTCTGTACAGCAGTGTTTTGCTGTTTCTCAACACACAGCCACCGCTTTGATGGAGGGATAATAAAYCCCTCCAGCCCCCATCCTTCCACTTTATTTAAATGGAGAGGAGCACAATGCAAGGCATCACTCCATTCAAAGTAGGAAGAAAAATTTGGGAAAATTTTACCTCGACACTTTCCAAACAAACCAAATTCAAGCACAGAAGACCAAGATGTTTAAGCAATATTATTTGGCCATTAATTCTCGCTTTGGCCATTAATTCTCGAAAGAAACTCAGCCAGTTTCTTTCTTAGCCTTCACTGTAAATTCCTTACCCAATTCCCCTGCAATCTCCACACCTCCTAGATTAGAGACTGCATGCTCAGCACTCCTCTGGAGCCTTTCCCACATGTCACTTGTTGGGCGTTGGGACAATGTCACCGAGTAGCTGTGAGCGAGCTGTGCTCCCAGGATCGTGTCTGCATGGATCGCTGGAGTGGGCACTCGCTTTCCTGCTGACCAAACAGACAAAACCAGCATCRCTTCTCCCAGCCCCTAGTTATTCATTGCTGCTCTAGAGCTGTCAAGAGGAGTGTCTCACGGACGTGGTCCCTGTCCTGAGGAGCTGAGAGTGTTGYATCAGCTGGCTGTGACCCACAGTCCCTGGCTGTGACCCAGCCATCAGTCAGAGAGCAAACCAGGCTCCGTTTCTGGGCACTAAGCGTGAGCTACAATTCCACAAACTTCAGCTGGCTGAAAGGATCCAATACAGATCCTCTTGCCCTTCAGCTGAGGGAGACATTCCAGTGCCTGCAGAACACAGTCCAATTCACCCTGCCTCAGAGAGGTGTCTCATGCAGGAAGGGTCGATCTTCTTCAGAGCTGCCCCTTTCCAATGTTTATTGGAGAGAGCCTGGATAACCTGTTTAGAAAGGTTCCCACCTTTCTGGACTCGTGCCGAAGCTATATCAGCATTGGTGTGTGCGGAGCTTAGAATAAAAACAAAGGTGATGGTGATGGGTTTCTTTTTCTAGGCGGTCTGGCTTCCTTTTGCCTTTGAAAGGATCGGTATTGCCGTAAGACACTCGAGTGTGTGGTAATGGAGTGAGATAGCCCCACACCCAGTCGACTGAAAGTAGTTGGCATTTAGCCCAATGACTGGCAACATCCCTTAGGTGTGGTGATATCTCTCAATATCGCCCCACCCTGACATGTCCAGCATTTCATTAGCACAGGCATTAAGGTCCAGTTCTACTACCCTTACCATGAGTAAGGGTGGCGGGATCTAGGTCTGAGTGAATGAACATTGTCATAATTGCAGCAGCATTTGTAACCTTATTATGCCAGTGAAAACTCCAAATCGGAGCTTTGAGAATAAGGAACTAATTGGCTTGAAACAGTTTCAGTCTAATGACCTCTTACCAGAAGCTCAACAGTGCWTTAAGATTTATACCCGGGGTYGGTTAGATTAGTTTCAATTTCGGGTAGTGGGTATCTATCCAATTACTCTCCTCCTCCTTGCTCRGGGTAGAGCACATGGCATTCCTTCTGCTGCTTGATGTGCTAAGCAGCATGTGAGTTGGCAACTTGGGCTGARAAGCAAATTAGCATTATGCAAACTGCAGGATTCTGGCACTCACATTAGGATCAGTGATCTGGCAAGAAATCCTGCCAAGCTACCAAGCTTTCCTGAGCCCAGAGAGAGCTGCAAACCCTAATCCAAGAGACCAGCTGACAATAACAAAACAAAACAAAAAGAGATTGTGGGGGAGGGGGAACAAATTCTTAATTGTCTG